GAACCGTTTGCGGTAGCCGTTTACAGCGATTGTAAACGATGCTTTACGATGAATTACAGTCATTGTTTATAATGAACGTAAAAGTCGCTGTTAACGGCTAGCGTAGCAATACGGCGACTGTATACGCTCATCGAATAATATTGCAAGATATCGTATGCGTCAACTGTAAATGTCTTAAGAAATAATCATCGTTTTCTATCATACTTCGTCGTAAACGGTCGTTAACGTTAATCACTTGCTCTTATCGAATATAAGCAACACGTGCTCGTGACAGCTTATACATGCCACTAGGTAACAATAGTTATACTTCAACAAAGTCGAGAAGGGTGTAGGTGTGGGTCTCCTCTTCATCTGCAGCGACACTCACAGCCACCCTCACACATCCATCACACACCCATCCTCGATTTTTGAGTATTGGTAATCCGATTAAAATCGGATTTATTCATTCTTTTTGGGACATAAGTTCACCCTATATATGAGTGAATTGCAACTTTATTGTACCGTTCGAGAAAAAAACGGACGAAAAAACAATTTTCGATTTTAGGGGTTGTGAGTCGTGCATTTTAGTGTACTAGATGAGAGGAGAATATGTATAAAATTTCCACACTACCACTCTTAAATTGGCTGAGCTACAGCAGTTTTTCAAAATATATAAAATGTCCACAAACGTGAGTTTTTTCATATAAATTAGAAGCTCGTGAAACTATGAATTTACTCAAATATATTTAAAGAACTTCAGGTCATACGCAGAAAGAACTGCATTTGCAGTGGTATATATAGTTGTGTTATAAAAAATAAGCTAGCTCTCGAGTACGAATGTAATAGTGTGTTATAAATGTTGTATTGCAGCCCAAGTGGCTTCAGACATGTGATTAGTATCATCAGATATTGAACCAGAACTAAAACAATCATTTTTCTTCCACAAAAGACCACTTAAGATTGATATGTGCTGTTCGTAATAGTACGACGCTAAAAGAAATGTTGTTGCTTTAGTTCAAACAAAATCATTAAAGCAGTAAAACATGCAATACAATCAACAGAACACGATTCCATTCTGATAATAAGGGCATCTAAGCTTTAAGATTGGAATCGGGTAATCAATCACTCACCTTTTTCTTGTCGTGCTTGTTTCAATTTGAAGTTTTTGGACCAATCCAAATGTATTGTAATTGTATCTTCCTGTTCCATAGCCGCTTGTCTTGCTTGTTTCGAAGCTCGAAATTGTTGATGTACACGGTCAATATGTGGTATTAAATCCTAAACATGATAAAAAAAATTATTGCTTATCACTGTAGAATAAAAATATATATATGGTTCTCCCCATCCTAGAGTTTCGCTCGCACAACACGAAATACATACAGTACTTAAAATCTCATCATACTGCTAATAATATTTATGATCAAACTCAATGTACACACATTGATTTCATTTATAAATTTTGTTATAAAATCAACAATAGATGATGTAAATGTCGTTTTTGTTGACACAGGTACATTAGGTTTATCATATTTTTTCTTTATCCATTCAGTATATGTAATATTAAATTGTTCATCTTTAAGTTTAACCAAATTATCTAAAAAATCTTTTGTTTTGATTTCATCTGTAACCAAATCTGTTATATCCGTTAAACCATCAAGAAGTCATGAGGCTCTCATGCACAATCAAAAGCTGTTGTGTTAGCATCTATATGCCCTGTCAATGGAAGATTTATCTAGTACAATTTATAAAACTACCATTCAACTCTAATGTAGACTAGCATAATTTTCCTCGAGTCGATTCGTTTTCGAACTTTTTGTTTGAAATTGCTAATTTACTTGGAGATGCTAAGCTACATGTTGAAACTATCTGCGTAGCAGTCAATACGTATCTTGGTAACTTTTGACACACACAGACCTATGTCCGACTGAATGGAACCTTCAGGATTGGCATACTTATATATTGAAGATATATCTGTCGCGACCCTTAACAATGAAGAAGCCGGTGTGGGTGTGGGTGTAGTTTTTTTTAACCCACACTCACACCCACACTCACATCCACACCCTTGAGTACCTCTCCTTAGCAATAGTGTTGGCAGAGAGCAATAAGAAGCGCGGAAATAAGCAAGTATTATTAAATGAATTTCCACAGCAATGAAATGAATAAAAGTAATATAGTGTTTAGATATGGGAGGCGAGCATGGTTTGGAAATGAGCATTAATGTAGCAAATGCATTTTATTTTAGTGTCAATCAGTAAAATGATAAAATAACTAGTCTAGCTAAGCGAGAATAGGGAGACATGAAAAGTATAGGCTTGTCTATTTGAGCGTA